AGAGTTATATTTCATATTTCTAGTTTCAGATACAAGAGTGATACATACATACAAATATGATGACCACACTCAGTAGATTATAAGCTTTGTAATGATACCTTACAAGAGAAGTTTTGCATGAAGCATATTCCAGTTACATTATATTCACACTCATTAGCATATTTTCCTAAAATCATAGAGAGTGCAACGTCACAGAGGTCTCAGTGGTATCCCAGTTCCTGGTTACACCCTGGGGAAGTTCATACCCAACCCAACAAACAGGTCCTCTTCGACAGAGAGTCCATTTCCCAGTTGTCATGCACTCATTTACTTAAGGAGAGATGGTGGTTATAGTAGGAAAGTCTTCAGAGTAACAGCCGTGTTAGTCTGTATTCGCAAAAAGAAAAGGAGTACTTGTGGCACCTTAGAGACTAACCAATTTATTTGAGCATGAGCTTTTGTGAGCTACAGCTCACTTCATCGGATGCATACAGGACTCATGAGTTCTGTTTGTCATTCTCTGTGGGACCTCTGCCAAGTAGCATTGCCCTTTGCCTGAGTTTACCTATTTGTATAATGGCGATATGTTCATAGGGACTTTACCTAGCTAGGTGTTTTCAAGATCCATCAATGAAAGGTGCTTCACAATATGATGATAGTTCTTGATGAGAATTACTGATCTTTGATGTCTTAGTGACAGCTCTCTGTGCCTGCAGAAAGTGCTCATGTCTCCCCTCAGTCATCTGTTTCCAGATCTGTCTGTCTGTTATCTACCAAGCTATCCTACGCATTTACAGAGTATCAGACTCTATGGAGGCCTAGGCATTATCCCTAGTTTTCTTTCTAATCAACTATAATTTTTAAATATACACAAATACACGGAGCAGCCAATTCCTCTCTGACTCAGCACAGAGCCCAAGAGTTCTCATCTCCCTTTGGGAAGTTTTCTTAATTACTGTTTACTCCTAAAGCTGGACAAAAAACACAGAAGTGCAGATGTGGAAAGAAAGATATTAACTAGAGTGTCTCCAGTCTCCAGCCTGTTTGCGTCCAGATGCAACTTCTCCCCTAGAGGCTGAGTGAACCCAACTGGGATTACACAGAGCTATATTATTAATGGTGTTCAGCCCTGTGTCAGCTCTTGACATGGGATGTTGATGCAGATGATGGGGTGAAAGAGGTGTTGGACACGGCTACCTGACGGGGATTCCCAGGAATGACACTTCCACTTCACAGTTCACAGGTACCTATCTCTAGCTGAGGAACTCACATGCTTGACAAGCCAAGTGGAACACAGGTGTGACAGGATAGAGAATAGGTCTGGGGTCCTTTCTGCTCTGCACAGCCATTAAAGATCCCAGGGTCCTTGCCACAGGGGTGAGTTTGTTCCAGTATCACTGTCCAAAATGCCATTCCTTTCTGTGAACACCACCCACCCACCCTTGCCAATGGCCTCACGCCCTGAGGTGGCTGCATTTCAGTGGCACAGTGGATCCTTCATGATGGAAGGTGTTAGTAGATGTATAAAACAAGGCCAAATTTGGAGGCTGTGGCTTGTATTTTTCCTCAGGCCCCACTGAGGCAAAATTTCTCTTGGAGTAAGAACCGAATAAAAATCTCAGGAGCCAGCAGTGTGTTAATCCACAGACACTGTCACCTTCTCCTCTGGCAATTTTAGGCTTTGTCTGTTAAGGGGGGAGTTACTTGACTTTTATCTGCTGCAAAGCATTGTTGTGTCTAAACCATCCCAGAGAGATTGGTGTCCTGCCACCTTTGGGATACCTTCCACAAAGGAGCTTCCACAACCTCCCAAAGCGTCTGTTCCATTATCCTCCTGTTCTTAAAGTTAGGAAGGTTTTTTCTCAGATTTAATCTAAATTTGCTATGCTGGAGTTTGAACCCATTGCCTGTTGTCCTGTGCTCTGCGGCAAGAGAGAATAACATTCCTCCATCCCTCTTATCGCAGCCTTTCAAGTAGCTGAAGACCGCTCCCATCTCCCCCTTAGTCTCTTCAAAGGACCTAGCTACCCCTCCTAGGGAGGTGAATTAACTACTTTGACAGGAGAACCCCTGCCGTCGGTGTAAGTAGTGTCAACATTGAAGCACCAGGGAAGCACCTTTGTAGCTTTTTAAGTGTAGACGAGCCCTCAAGCAGATCTTCCAGAAAAGCATCCAGTCTGGATCTGCATACATGGGGAGCTGGAGAATCCACCCCTTCCCTTCTCAGTCTGTTCCAAATGTTAATCACCCAGAGTGCTAAACGTGGCCCTTATTTCCAACTGGAATATTTTTGGCTTCAAATTCCAACGACTGGGTCTTGCTTTGCCTTTCTTCACTAGATTTAAAAGCACGTAATTGGTATTTAAGATGAATAAATGAAGCTCTTTAAGTCTCTCTCTCTCTGACCACCATTTTCTCCAGTCTCCAAACATTTATGTGGCTCTTTTCTGCACCCTCTCCAATTTTTCAACATCATTTCTGAAATGTGGACCCCGGGACTGGATGCAGTTGGTTTCACCAATACCATGTGCAGAGGTAAAATTGTTCCCCTGCTCCAACTCACCACTACCCTGGATCACATCACCCTTTTGGCCACAGCACCACACTGGGAGCTCACAATGAGTTGGTTGTCTACAATGACCCCTAAATCCTTTCCAGGATCCCTGTGTACCATAATACAGTGCCCTAGTCTGTGGGTCAAGCCTGCATTCCCTTTTCCGAGAGGATCCCTTTGCATTTGTCAGTATTAAAACATTTTGTTTGCATGGGCCCAGCTCACCAAATGCTCCAGATCAATCAGTGTGCCTGCCCTGGGCTCCTCATTGTAACCAATCTGCCAATCTTTGAGTCATCTGCAAATTTTATCTGCAGTGATTTTCTATTTGCTTCCAGAGCATTGCTGAAAATATTAAATAGTATAGGGCCAAAAACGGATCCCTGTTGAACCACATAGAAACACCCCCATTCACTGACAATGGCCCATTGACACCTGCTTTCTAAGCTCTTTCAGTTAGCCAGTTTTTGGTCCACTTTACATGTGCTCTACTGATATTGTAGAGTGTGCATTTTTCTATCTGAATTTTCCCCCCTACTAAAACAAATGCCTCAGAGAAATCCGTCTATTGCATCTGCATGGTTCCCTTGATCAATCAAAAGTGCACTCATTGAAGGATGAAATCGGGTTTATTTGACAAGACGTGTTTTCCATAAGTCATGTTGTTGATTGGCATTAACTAAATTCATAGACTTTTTTTAACTAATCCCAGACCAGCTTTTCCCTTGTTTCCTAACTTTGTAAACTCTTTTTTTTAAACTTTCTCTTTTTTTATTGAATACTTTACTACATTTAACCCATAACTGTCCTGTATTTGCCTCCCCCCTGCCTTTTTTTTTCCCTTTTGGCTCCCCGGCTGCCTCACTGTGTATGTCTGGTTCTGAGTGAGATGTGCGCTTGAGCAGTCAGTTCGTAACTCTGGTGTTTGGAACTCTAAAAGTCAATTGCAGATGCTGTTTATCGCCATCCTTGACTGCTAATGGACTGGAAAGTATTTCATCATCTCAGGTGATATATGTTTCTCATACCGTTTCTTTCCAAATGCAGAACACAACTATATGTTGAAGATATCTACCTTTCCTGCAACATTAACAAACTCCATTTCTCCCTCAAAGAAATCCCTAAACCTTTTCTAGGATTTGTTTTGTTCTTAATATACTTTAATAACCTCCTTTTTGTGATCCTTAAACCTGCCATGCATGGATTTTTCCATGATGTTTTTAGCATCCCTTATTAATTTTCATAAATTCAAATTTGTATTATTTGCTCTCTATTTTCCATTTTCCCCACTTGTTATATATTGCTTCCCATCCTGTTCTCCCCCCACCTACCCCCAATTGCTGCATTCACTTTGTCAGTAAACCAGGATTTGTTTTTTCTAACTTTCTTGTCAGTGGAATGGTGGATTTTTGCCAATCTAATAAACTCTTCTTCAAGAACTCCAAATTTTCATTCTCATTTTGTCTCTTGAAATTTTTTCCTCCAAATCACTTTTATTGATCTTTTGCCTCTCCTTTGGAGAATTAGCCCACTAAGTGAATTGTCTCTTTAAACTGACCTCACACTTGGTAAGGCAACTCCCATCTTTTCATGTATTTATACCTGCTCCTGTATTTTCCACTCCATGCATCTGATGAAGTGGGTTCTAGCCCACGAAATCTTATGCCCAAACAAATTGACTCTAAGGTGCCACAAGGATCTCTTGTTGTTTTTGCTGATACAGACTAACACGGCTACCACTCTGAAACTAAGTGTCTATAGATATTAATGGTTGGGAACTGTTCTGTGTTTGTCCATTTGAATGTAATCAGTTTGTTCTTTATTTTCTGCTCCTCTATCATATGCCCCGTTTTCTTTGTCTCTTCTCTATACTCAACACTCCCAGACTTTTCAGTCTGTCGGCATATGGCAGCCTCCCCCATTCTCATAGCCTGTCTCAGAAATCCACTTTCTGTCTGCTATACACTTTATAGAGACTGAGTGTCCACAACTGAGCGCGTGTCCAGAGCAGGATATTCTCCATCCCATTCCTTAGGCATCCAAACATTGTCTTTGTTTTGGCCACTGCTGTGAATAAGCAACTGTTTCCGTGGAGCTGCTATCAATGACGCTCAGGTCTTTTCCATGAGGTGAGTTCTAGTTGGGATGTTTCCCTCTGGTACATGTTTTGTCAAAGCTTTGTTTCTTTTTCACTCTTAGATTTTGAGCATCATAAAAAGTGGAATTGGCATTAGTAGGGTCACTTGTTCATAATTCATTTATCTGAATAGTGACCAATTTCCTACACCCATGAGAACAGTACCCAGTAGTGCATGTAATGTCTCATATAAACATTGTCTCTCCATCCAGGCATTTGTACTGTGACCATCACCCTAGACCCTGGGCACATCCACAAAGTCAGAGGAATGTACAGTACATGCAGGAGACACCGTTCTGCCTCATAGTTGGACACCTTCTCCTCTACTCCATGTCAGATTCCAACACAACTCACTTCACCAACCCCTCCACCTTCATCCTGCTGGGCATTTCCGGCCTGGAGGCAGTCCATGTCTGGATTTCCATCCCCTTCTGCACCATGTACACCATAGCTATCTTGGGGAACTTCACCATCCTATTCGTCGTGAAGAGGGAGCGGAGCCTCCATGCCCCCATGTCCTATTTCCTCTGCATGCTGGCTGTCACCGACCTGGTCCTGCCTACATCCATGCTGCCCAAAATGCTGAGCATCTTCTGGTTCAATTCCAGGGAGATAGATTTCAGTGCCTGCCTCACCCAGATGTACTTCATTCACTCGTTCTTAGTGATGGAGTCTGGGATCCTCGCGGCCATGGGTTTTGACCGCTACGTGGCCATCTGCCATCCCCTGAGACATTCCACCATCCTGACAAACCCCATGGTGGCCAAGATCGGCCTGGCTGTGGTTCTGCGTGGTGGCATGCTCACACTGCCCTATCTCCTCCTGGTGAGGCAGTGGCCATATTGCGAAACCAACATCATCCCCGATACGTACTGCGCGCATATAGCTGTGGTGAAGCTGGCTTGCGCCGATACCCGCATCAGTAGTTACTATGGCCTCTTTGTGCTATTCTGTGTGAAGGGTCTGGATATGTTTTTTGTTGCATTGTCCTATACCCAGATCCTCAGGGCTATCTTCCGCCTCCCCACAAAGGACGCCCGGCTCAAGACTTTTGGGACCTGCATCTCCCACCTCTGTGCCATCTTAACCTTTTACGTCCCATCTCTCTTCTCCTCCCTCACATATCGGTTTGGCCAGAATGTGGCCCTGCATTTCCGTGTTCTCATTGGCAACTTGAACATCCTGGTGCCCCCCATGCTAAACCCCATCATCTACGGGGTGAGGACCAAACAGGTCCGGGACAGGCTGCTCCAGCTCTTTATTCATAAAGACATCTAAATTTTTCTCCTGGTGCTCTGGCTCTCAGACTGACCTCCATGCAGAGCTGTGTGGTGAGATGGTGCTAGGCTCTCTTCCCTGAATCACTGACTGGACAGTCAAACTGACATTGAATCCTTTCCTGGCCTTAGTGGGCTGTGTGAGCATGAGAGACTGGGGAATTGGTCTGTGTACAACTCATTAACTCATAGGGTTCCCACCTTTCTAATTGCTTTTAACTGGAACCCTGAGGCCCTGAGCCCTGAGCCTGTTCTCCCAAGGCCCTGTCCCCTTTTCCAGTGGGACACAGCTGAGGATGCAAAATTCAGGACAAACTGCTGAGAAATGGGTTAGACTCACCCCAGACTGGTGATTACTCTATCATTAGATTATACCAAGCCAGCAACCAATGTAAAGTTCTGTTTCACCACATTGGTTAACTAGAAACCAAAAATGCAGTCTCCTTAGGCATCCCAGCCTTTGGCTCACGATCCAGACAGTGCTTTGAACAGGGGGTTAGACTAGATGACCTCCTGAGGTCCCTTCCAACCCTGATATTCTGTGATTGTATGAGTGGACTCCATAATGAGCTGTTAGTGAAAACCAATTTAATCACATATAGGGTCCTTCCAATCTCAAGGCAAATAAGTTACTAGGATATTACCCAATAATCACGCTGCTGCCAATCTGTTAGTAACTAAAATCTAAAGGTTTGATAATAAAAGAAAAGAAGAATAGGTATAAATGTTTAATGGATCAGATACATCCAAGTGATTTTTTTCAGAGTTCATAGATTAGGATCATAGCAGTCATGGAATAAACTGCTGGCTTGCAAATGAATCTCTGGAAATTACCCAAGCTGGTTGGGGGTCATCAGACCTCTTTCAAGGCCTCCTTCTTGGAAACACATTCCAGAGAAATGAACATAAAATGGAGATGTCTCAGGGGTCCTTTAATATCCTCTGTCCTGTGAGTGGAATTTTACTGTCCGAAACAAAGCCCATAGCATCTCTTTGTGGAAAGTTACTGGCCCAAGTTGGAGTCCAGGGTCACTTGACCATATCACATGTCCTAATATGCTTGATGACTCACAGGGGCAGCTATCAACCATATTCTTACAGAGGCATGCTTCTTCTATGGCCCATTGTGAGAGCAAATTGTCCTTGTTGGCCCTCAACACATAGCTGCTTGGCTTTATTCACTTGTGGGATGTCACCCAGGAACACTTAACAAATCATAACTTTCCCATTGACACTTGACAGAACATACTTTTTACAAGATTTGTTGCAATTCTATAACAGTGGTAGCTACAACGATAAAAAATGGTCATACTGAAACACACAGCATCACACCATGTTCTCGTCCAATGATGGTGGGACAGCTGCTAGCCACCTAAGGAAGGGACATTGCTTGAGTTCTAGCAGGTCAATAAGCTGGGACAATAGAGGATGGGAAGAGCAGATAAAAACTTGGTTTGCTTCAGGGAATCTGGACCTTGTACAATGAAAGGAGGAAAGAATTCTTTAAAAGTGATAGGTGCCCGTCCGTGAACTTGGCTGTTTCCTCCAAGAGTCACCAGCCAGCATCCTTGGCTTTGAACGACCGTAACTTATGTTTGATTAAACCATCTTCCAGAAAGGGTGTCCAGGTCTAGATCCACAAAGGCATTTAGGTAAATACTGAGCTTAGGCACAGCTGCCTTCCTCAAAGCCCCAGATCATCTGCTACCTTACCCTGTAGGAGCCTAAGGGTCTGCCAATAACCTGCACAAAGCAACCTGAGCGCTGACTCTGCTCCAGAGCTAACAAGCTTCTCAGAGTCTTCGCTCAGGCCTCAGTTCTGGTGGGATTCTCCAATGAGGTTGTTAAGGTTCCTTCCCCACTCTTAACTCTAGGGTACAGATGTGGGGACCTGCATGAAAACCTCCTAAGCTTACTTTTACCAGCTTAGGTTAAAACTTCCCCAAGGTACAAACTATTTTACCCTTTGCCCTTGGACTTCCACTGCCACCACCAAACGTTTATCTGGGTTTATTTTATTAGGAAAGCATTGTTTGGAAACATCTTTCCCCCAAAAACCCTCCCAAATGTTACATCCCCCTTCCCTAGAGAAGGTTTGGTAAAAATCCTCACCAATTTGCATAGGTGATCACAGACCCAAACCCTTGGATCTTAAGAACAATGAAAAAAGCATTCAGTTTCTTACAAGAAGAATTTTAATAGAAGAAAAAGAAAAATAATCAGCTCTGTAAAATCAGGACAGTAAATACCTTATAGGGTAATTAGATTCAAAACATAGAGAATCCATCTAGGCAAAACTTTAAGTTACAAAAAGAGACAAAAACAGGAATCTCCATTCCATTCAGCACAGCTTATTTTCTCAGCCATTTAAAGAAATCAGAACCTAACACATCTCTAGCTAGATTACTTACTAAGTTGTAAGACTCCATTCCTGTTCTGTTCCCGGCAAAAGCATCACACAGACAGACACAGACCTTTTGTTTTTCTCCCTCCTCCCAGCTTTTGAAAGTATCTTGTCTCCTCATTGGTCATTGTGGTCAGGTGCCAGGGAGGTTATCCTAGCTTCTTAACCCTTTACAGGTGAGAGGATTTTTCCTCTGGCCAGGAGGGATTTTAAAGGTGTTTACCCTTCCCTTTATATTTATGATAGAGGTGTTTCCCCTGCCCATCTCCCCAGCAGGCCCGATCTGTTAGGCACTGTCAGACCATACCTCCTAGATGGGGACTTGCAGATTGGGAATGTGTGTGTGTGCGTTTGCATCCATGTGTGTATGTGTGCATGTGAATCCATGTGTGCATGTGGGTCTGTGTGTTTGTGTGTGCACGTGGGTCCAAGTGTGTGTGTGCATGGGGGTGTGTGCATCCGTGGGTCTGTGTGTGTGTGTTTCTGTGCATGTGGGTCCAGGTGTGTGTGCTCATATGGGACTGTGAGTGTGCTTGCCTGTGTGTCTATGTGTGTGTGCATCCGTGTGTATGTGTGAGTACCTGTGTCTGTGTGTGTCTCTTTGCATGTGTGTCCATGTGTGTACACCCCCAGAATATCCCATAGACCAGTGGTTTTTTGCCCTCACCTGGAATGCGGGAGACCCAGATTCAAATCCCTGCTCAACTGAATGTTTGTTTGTATAAAGTGGAACAGCTCAAGATGGAGAGACTAAGTATCCCACCCAGAATAGCCATTTGTGGGGTGCTCAGGGCACTCAGGTGGGATGTGGGAGACCTGTGTTTATGTCTCTGCTCCAATGCAGGTAGAACAAAGATTTTGGATCTGGGTCTCCCAAGTCTCTCTCACATCTCTCACTAGAAAACGCTGACCTTTCCTAGGCATCTTGCTCCAGAAAAGGGCTCCCAGCTGACAATCCCACATGGAAATAGGGATCTCTCTCCAGCCCATCAGTTGAGCTACTGAACACCCAAATCAGTGGGAGTTACATGCTTAAGGACCATGTATGGTCTTTGGAGACCAGAGTGGCTGAACTGGAGGAGGTAAGGGAGACAGAGAGGTACATAGATGAGACTTCCCGGGCCAGAGTAGAATGGTCCCACCCACAGTCTGACAATCTCTGTGCTGTAGAGGAGGATGAAAGTCTCAGGAAAGGAGAAAATGAAACTGGAGAAATTGGGACCTCCAGATGATGTCCTGGGACCCTCTCTTTCTGAGGATACCTCTCTGTGGAAGGGAACTTCTTTTAATAGGTAGAGTCAGGTTATAGTTTTGGTGGATTTGATCATTAGAAACAGAGATAGCTGGGTTTGCAATGACCAAGAGAACAACATGGTGACTTGTCTGCAGATCTCTTGAGGCCTCTAGATAGACTTATATGTAGTGCTGGGGAGGTACCAATGACATAGGAAACAATAGAGAGGTCCTGGACCTCCATGGTAGCATTCTCTGAAATGCTTCCACTTCCACACACAGAGCGAAATAGACAATAAGAACGGCAGGGTCTCAATGCATAGATGAGATGATGGTGGAGGGATTTAGTTTTATTAGGAATTGGGGAACCTTTTGGGAAAGGAGGCACCTATACAGGAAGGCAGGACTCCATGTAAACCAAAATGGAACCAGATTGCTGGCACTTAAAATTAAGAAGGCCGTAGAGCAGTTTTTAAACTAAGGGTTGGGGGAAGCCGACAGGTGAGGAGGACCACGTGGTTCAGACAGAGACATCGCTTAGGGGAGGATCTATTAATGGAGATTCTCTATATCCTAGTAAGGAGGATGGCATGGAAGATAAAATACAGGTAGGATCTGATGAGAAACAGTCAAATGAAAAAGAGTCCCATTCAATTACATCATGAAATGGCAGACAGTTAAAAAGTAACAATATTTAAAGTGCTTATATACAAATACCAGAAGTCTAAATAATAAAATGGGTGAACTAGAGTGCCTCGTATTAAATGAGGATATTGATATACTAGGCATCACAGAAACTTGGTGGAATGAGGATAATCAATGGGACACAGTAATATCAGGGTAAAAATATATCAGAAGGACATAAGAGGTCGTGCTGATGGGGGAGTGGCACTGTACATGAAAGAAAGCATAGAGTCATATGAAGTAAAAATCTTAAATGAACAAACTGTACCATAGAATATCTATGGATAGTAATTCCATGCTTGAATAGTAAGAATATAGCCGTAGATGGTGACCAAGATAGTGATCATAGAATCATAGAATCATAGAATATAAGGGTTGGAAGGGACCCCAGAAGGTCATCTAGTCCAACCCCCTGCTCGAAGCAGGACCAAATCCCAGTTAAATCATCCCAGCCAGGGCTTTGTCAAGCCTGACCTTAAAAACCTCTAAGGAAGGAGATTCTACCACCTCCGTAGGTAATAGTGACTGTGAAATGGCCAGGGAGATTAGAGAGGCTATTAAAAAAAAACCTGAATAATAATGGGGGATTTCAACTATCACCATATTGACTAGGTACATGTCTCCTCAGAATGGGCAATTCTTGATTTAGTCCCAAGTGAAGCATTGATAATAGTGACCAT